GAAGTTAACAAATAAATTGCTAGATGAAGCCATGGATGTTGCAGATGATCAAGTATTGGCATACAAGGGTCCATACCAAAGATTAATTGGAAGATTGTTATATTTGACACTAACTAGGCCTGACATTGGATTTGCAGTACAAACTTTAAGTCAGTTTCTGCAGTGTCCAAAGAAATCACACATGGAAGCAGCTCTTAAAGTGGTTAGATATATAAAAAGGGAACCTGCAATGGGAGTGTTGATGAGCAGCAAGAAAGACAGAGAATTAACAGCCTTCTGTGATGCAGATTGGACAGCATGTCCAAATACAAGAAGATCAGTGACAGGGTTCTTAATCAAACATGGAGAATCTTTGATCTCTTGGAAGTCAAAGAAACAAACAACAGTATCAAGAAGTTCAGCTGAATCAGAGTATAGAAGCATGGCTTCTACTGTATCAGAACTAGTTTGGATCATTGCATTATACAAAGAATTAGGAGAAGAAATACATCTACCTGTAAAACTTTTCTGTGATAGCAAAGCAGCCTTACAGATAGCAGCTAATCCAGTTTACCACGAAAGAACAAAGCACATTGAAGTCGACTGCCATTTTATCAGAGAAAAGATACAAAAGGGATTGATTCAAACACTATATCTAAAGACACAAGAACAGCAAGCAGACATTATGACAAAGGGGCTGGCAAGAGCACAACATGAGCATTTGGTTTCCAAGCTGGGAATTTTGAATATATTCACACCTACCAGCTTGAGGGGGAGTAATGAGAAAGGAGTTATTACTTAGTTAACTAAAATTAGTTATAACAAATTATAGTTAGGATTTGTTAGATTAGTTAGTTAGTATTTTAAGTTCTATATAATGTAATGTTTTAGTTGTTTTTCTTCTAAGAATTTTTGGATTCATTTCTAATAGAAGTAAAAGATATTTTCTTCCAAGTTTTCCTTTCTTCTTCTTCATCTTGCTCTTCTTCATCTCGTTTAATTGTTTCTACACTTATCCTCTTTGAAAGAATTGTATCTCAACAGGAATAATTTTGGCTATTTTCCTCGAAGCATAGCCTAACTTGGTTCCCTTCTGTCAACTCCATTAATGGAGCTTGTAAAAAACGCTGAGTATTAGAAATACAGAGTAGAAAGAGTAAAGAAGAAACTGTTTCATTAATTCATTATTTCAGAATACATTGCCTTTATTTATAGGTAGTTTATTCATCACGCCTTTTAGCACGAACAACCTCCTAACCAACTCTACTGACTCAACTTAACTCTAACTAACTTTACTAACCATATTTAACCATGGTAGCTTGTACTGTGGTTAGCACTCCCCTCAAGCTCATGGTTTAAAAAGATTCAGCACACCGAGCTCACTCATTAGTAGTTGATGCTAAGCTTTTCCATGTCCTTTTGTGAGTAAGTCAGCAAGTTGAACCCTTGTATTTGCATACTGAGTTTTAAGCAACCCGTGACAATTTTTTTCCCTTACGTGATGACAGACGTATCTATGTGTTTGGTCCTTTCATGAAAAATAGGATTCGCAACAATTCAAATTGTTGCTTTGCTATCACAGACCATAATTAGCGGTAGTACAATTTGAACTCCAAACTTTTTAAACAGTCCTACTAACCAAGTGACTTCAGCAACATAGTTTGCCGGGCTTATGAATTAAGCTTCAACTGAACTTCTGGACACTATTGCTTGTTTCTTTAACTTCCAAGAGATTAGTGCTCCTCCAAACTTGACTAAATACCCAATTAGTGATCTTGTTGTCTCAATACAAGATCCCCAGTCAGAGTCACAGTATGCAAGGAGTAGATTGGTGTTTTCAGCTGGCATAAATAGTCCAAGACTAGGAGCTTCTTTTATATAACTGACTTCTCTTAATGTTGCCTCCATGTGAGAATCCTTAGAATAATGCATGTATTGAGTTAGAACTTGAACTGCAAAAGACAAATCAGGTCTGGTCATAGTCAGGTATAACAACCTACCTACTAGACTTTGATATCTTCTAGGGTCATGTATTATAGGATCTTCCTATTTCTCTGACTTCTAATGCACTTATCATACTGTACAAAAGTCAACAATAAGTTTTAATGCATAGTGAATACCTCTACTTGATCTAGCACATTTAATTCCAGGAAGTACTTGGGTTTCCCTAGGTTTTTCATCTTGGAATCATTTCTGTAGACCATCCTTAGTAGTGTCTATAAGAGTTGACTGCTTCGGTTGTTGACAATTTGTGTTTAAAAACTGTATTGCTGATTATCAGAAACTTTGCAGAAACACGAAGTTACTAAACTTTTCAATGAACCAGTAAAGAACAGAAGAGCATAAATTAATTCACAAAAAATTAAAATCTGTAAAACATAGTAGAATCTGGAAAAACAAAATAGGAAGATGATCAAGCCCACTAAATGCACATTTCCCCTTAAAGAAATTATTCTCCTATAGTATCCGAGATTTGATTTGGAATATGTCCTCCCATGATAGAATAATCTCAATCACCAGTGTCTTGATAACCAAAATACTGGTGTCAGCGAGCCACTTAACGGCAGTAAAGTACACCGAAATTATTTGTGCATGAAAGAAGAAGAAATCAGAAATTTTCGTAAGTAAACATCTAAAGAATAACATGTATTTATAGGCAAGAGGAACTACTTCCGAAAGGAAAGTTTGCAACCTTTCAAACGGTCATGGTTGTTCCTGAAAGTTGCAACCTTTCAAAACAATCATTTCCGATGGAGAGAAATTCAAAATAAAATGGGAAAGAATTTGAATCTGAGTCATGTCTGAACGTTTCGCTTAATTAACTAATTAATTGAAACGTTTTTGGCTATTAATTTAATTTAATTAATTAATGAAATAATTTAAACAACATTTTGTTCAAAAATAATCTCTCGATCATTTTCCAAACCCAAAGCCCAGAGGCAACGATGACGGCGCAAAAAGGGGCCCCTCTTTCCAACCCTTTTAATAATTAACAGAAGTTTTTCTATATTAAAACTTTTCTATTTTTTTTCCACCACCGATTAAGGAGAAGTGCCTTTTTCACTAAAGCATAAGAGGACTTTTCAAAAAACCAACTTTTCAAATTCCTCTCTTTTCATCTTCCCTCAATTTCCTATTAACTCTTGTTATATACCCAACACCAGTAACTAGTAAATTATTTACATAGACTAATACAATGACTATGTCTTATAAAGAGTGAGTAGTCAAAGTGGCTTTGTTGAAATACTAAGTGAATCAATACATAGTTCCTTTGTCTAGGGGCTTGTTTAATGCCATCAAAAGACTTGTGGAGTTTGCAGACCTTAGCATTGTTCACCCCCTGTCTAGCAAGCCCTGGAGGAATGGAAATGTGTACCTCCTCACATAGATCACCATTGAGGAAGGCATTATGGACATCCATTTATTGGACAGACTAACCTTTAGAAGCAGTCATAACAACAGACCTCATCGTAACAATCTAATTGCAACAAGGCTGAATGTTCACCATAGTCAAGCCCCTCATTTTGGTTGTAGCCCTTGCCAACTAGCATGGCCTTTAACATCTCTGCCTCACAAGTTGATTGATACTGAATTTTGTAAATCCACTCCATCCAATGAGTTTTTTTTCGGCAGGTAAATGTGAAAAATGCTAAAGTTGATTTTTGAAATATCATAATTTTTTTAATATAGTTTGTAGAATGGTCTAGTGTAGTACTTAGAATAATTATCTTGAAGATATATCTAGATATTCTAGAGAAAGTGCTACACTAGAACTGTTTTGAAGATATTTTTGTAGTAAATGATAGGATAGTCTAGAGCTTCTGTATCTAGAACAATCTATAGGTTAGTATAAATATGAGATGGTATTGTACATTTGTAATCAACCAAAACAAACCAAGAACAACCTAATAAAAGAGTATTTTCCATAAACAAGTTCTCCTTTCTAGCTTTCTCTTCTTTAGTTGAATCTTTTAATCTTAGTTAATGATCTTGGGCTAGCAGAAGGTTTGCTGATTATACTTTTCTTCTACTATTCCCTACATGGTATCAGATCCATAACCATATGTTGGTTTTTGGGTGTTATTTCATGATTGGGTTAGAGGTAGATTCAATTGGTTTGTCTATATGAGTTTTAGCGACCGTGTTAATGGACTTGGGATGGAGTTGTTGAACCAGTCCAATTACAAGCTATGGAAGACATGTATGGAATTATAACTTGTGAGAGAGGATTTGTGGAATATTGTTAAGGGAATGACACAAGTCCTTTTACTGACGAATCGGGAAACAGTAGCATATACAAGAAGTGGAAGCAGGTTAATGGGAAGACGGAGTTCATTCTGAAGAGGACAATTTCCTCCGGTTTATTTGATCACAATATAAAGTATAAATCAGCTCACGAGATTTGGAGGACCCTCGATCTCTTGTTCAAAGAGAAGAATGAAGCTCGATTGCAGATATTGGAGAATGAATTGGCTAACACCAGTCAAGGTAACCTTTCTATCGCCAAGTATTTTTTAAAGATTAAGAACTTATGTTACAAGATATCTTTGTTGAATCCGGAAGAGGCTATTTCTGAAGCACGAATGAGAAGAATAATTATTTGTGGGTTAAAACCTGAATATATTCCATTTGTGACATCAATTCAAGGATGGGCTCAACAGCCATCCTTGGAGGAATTTAAAAAATTATTTTCGTCACAAAAATTACTAGCCAAGCAGTTGGCTAGTGTGTTTGCCAAGGACGGAAAAGGAGATGCTCTTGTAGCCGACAAGAGAAACTTTTAAGGAAAAATAAGAGATATGTCACACTCTTGCTCCTCATATGGTTCACACTCACCTAAAGATAAGGAAAAGCCTTCTAACTATTATGGTAAGAAGCCTCTCAGATGTTATCGTTGTGGCGAAATAGGGTATACAAAAAGATATTGCTGAGCGAAGAAAAGCAATATGACTCAAAAAGTTGCTGAAGAAGAAGAGTGGGAAAAGTGATTAGTAGCTGAGGCTCGAAAAATAGATGCCATGATTTCCATCAATCTTGAAAAAGATTGGATCAAAGATCTAGAATATGATATAGCCGATCACGTGGTGAAGAAACAAACTGATGTTTTCGGCATGAAGCAAGAAATTTTTGCAGATATTCCAAATGTGAATTGTAGCTACTATTGAAGAAATAAAAGAAGAAGATCTTGAACATGCAGTATCTGCAACTACATTAATGACGATCTTTTAAAAGAAAGCATTGAGAAAGATGTATTGGAAGCGGAAGTATATGGTCAATTATTTGCAATATCAAGATCACTAATGACTGAGAGCACATTCTGAAAGCAGATAGAGAACGTAGAGATCAAATAGAGGAAAAAGATGATATTGAAGTCTTAAAGACAAACAATATAATTTTTTAATGTTCTGAAGTTGTCAAAATATCTATCGATGGGATGACAATAAAATATGGCAGTGGATCCTATGTTGGTGTTGAGACTTCACAGGAAATTGATGGTGTTTCTCTTGATGATATAATTGTCGAGAAGTTAAGCAAAATGGGGAGTGTGAGAACTCAACGAGGAGATAATCTACATGGATCAGCTGACGCTGAAAAATATTTATTATTTGAAGAAGGAAGAGGAGTCCGAAAGAAAATGCTGAGATTTTTACCAAGACGTGGCTCAAAGTTTCGTTTGAATTCTTCTATAACAAGTGTGGGGTAGTTGTTGGCACCCAATTTCGGACCTCCACAATATAAATTAATCATTTCAAGATTTTTTTTAATTTCAAACGATTTAAAATAATTAGTTTTTATAAAATTTCTAAAAAATAATAATATAATTTGCAAGTTATTTTAAATAGGTTTGTAACTTTTTATAATTTTAAATTTTGTGTGTGTGTGTGTGTGTATATATATAGTTTATAATTAAGTTAATTATTTTATTTCGTTAAGATTAAGAAGCTCATTAATTAGTTTATGTTAAATCATTTTATTTTATTTTTAGCCGAATTCACTAATTAACTCAAGTTTTGGCTAAATCTTTGATTCATTGGCTATAATTACAATTTTGGCTATTTTTCCCTAGCGGGTCTTCTCTCTGTGTAAGACCCATTTTTGGGGGCCTTTCATTTCAAACCCCAGGAGGAATTGACATAGATAGACAAGTGTTACATCCAATTGGCAATATATAGCCCAATATTAATTAGCAATTAATAAACAGATAAAAAATTGGCACATATTAGCCTAAAAGTAACATATCGACATTTTAAATTTATTTTTAAATAATAAAAGATTTTTAATATAATTTCTCTTCTAACTTTCAGCAATTACTCCTTAAAACTACAAATACGATAATTTGTAAAAGGCAAGATAAAGAATGTATAAAATCTCAATTTTTTTAAAAAATAACCTAGACAATCAATATAAATAAAATTAGTAGGATTTGAGTTACTTACGGTGAAGAGTCCCTGTTGTGATTGATCTTTAATGGAAATAATTTAAAGAAAAAGATAGAAATCCTAAACTTGAAAGAGGGTGAAAATAAAGGAAAGAAAGAGAACTAAAGAATACGTAAAAAAAAATATTTGTTGACAAATTATAAGGAGAGAGGAGAAAGGAACAATAAAAACATAACTGCTAGGAAATAGAGTGAGAAAATCAGGGGGAAAATCTATTTTTTTTTTTAAAAAAAAAGAATGTAGTTATTTAATGCCAAATAAATATTTAAAAAATATTTTTTTGCTAGAAAATTTAAAGTGGGTTATTTATTGCCAATAAAGTCTATAGGTTGTCTTATTGTGCCATTTTTTAAGTATAAATTTAAGGAATCCCATAGTGTAATACAACATTCTGTCCCGACAAATTTTAGTATTTACTAATAATCCCTAAAATTGTTGTGGCGTGATACATTAGTATGTTGTGATACATGGTAAATGATACACAGTAACTTAAAACTGTTAAGATTAAAAGGGGGGAAAATGGAACATTTAAATTTGTTATCTAAATCATCTTAAATTACGGTAACAGTTCATTAATAAGCATTAATTCAGCACGTAATTGGATAACAATTTCAAATTTTGAAAATTCAACATTATATCATCTAGTTTGAAGACATTTTTATGAACATCCAGTTATTAAACTTATTGACTGATACATGATAACAATTTTCAAAAACTCGTGATACATAGAAAATCATATGATACAAATCAAATTCATGTATCAATGCATCGTCTAAACACTATAACACACTGAGTCGATATGTATCAGCAAGCACACTTGATGGCGCAGTTATTACACTTATTGACTGATACATGATAACAATTTTCAAAAACTCTTGATACATAGGAAATCATATGATACACATCTAATTCATGTATCAATGCATCGACTAACACACTATAGCACACCGAGTACTTATGTATTAAACTTATTGTCTGATACATGATAACAATTTTCAAAAATTCATGATACGTATGGGATTCCTTTACTAAATTTTTTACTAATTTCAACAACGGTTACTGCTTCTTTTCTCTTTTTTGGTGTATTTTGTCAACCTTTGATTTAGATGATTCGCCAAAATCTTTGTTTGAATCCTTCCGAACATTCATAGGATCATGCAAATACTTTTTTCTATTTTCTTTCCAATTTTCATCATCCGAATCATAAATCCTTCTATTAGTAAAAGGATCCATTAATATGATGTAATAGAACAATGAACAAAGACAAAAAAAAAGAACGGATGATGGAGTAAGAAGAAAAAGAAGACCTAGAGACAGCTGATGTAATATAGCAATGAACAAGAAAAAAAGAAGAAGAAAATAAGAACAGATGATGGATTAAGAAGAAGAAGAACAACTATAGACGGATGATGGAGTAAGAAAAAGAAGAAGAAGAACCAGAGAACAATAGTACAATTTTCAGAAATTTCAAATCTTTTGAATTTTGAAAATTAAAATTTCATATTAAATGTTGTGAAACGTTTTTAATTAAAATTAATAATTCAAAATTCAAAAAGTGATTCAGAAGATTGGGTGTTTTAGTGAAGAAAAAAAAGGCATGATATTGGGGAAGTGTGTGTTATAAGAGAGAGAAGACTATGCATCTCTAAACTTCTGCTAAAATTTTAAAAAGAAAGAAATTATGTAATATTTAAAAAAAGAAGGAAAAATTAGAGAATACTAAACTTATAGTTATGTATTTAAGTAATTTTTCCTTGTTTTAAACCCCAGCCCAGCAAAAAGATGACAAAAAGCCCACAATTCCAATTCACTAAATAACCCAACCGACCCATTCCAAAAATATCCAATAAATACGTCTAAGACTGGTCAACAGAACGGGATGTATCGGTATCGTTCAGGTTCGTTCCGTTTCGGTTGCCTACGGGACGGACGGAATAGTCTGAACTGGTACTTGGAACGGGACGGAACCGTGATTTCGTATCGGTGTACCAGTACCGGTTCCGGTCCGGTCCGATCCGATTCCGATCCGGTTTATTTAATATATATATATTTTTTTATATTTTATATAATTTATATTTATATTTTCTATAAATTATATTTTATATTTTATATAATTTCTATATATTAAAATTAATTACCCACCACACCTTCCCCTTCCCTGACACTTGGCTGCGTAAACTATGTCCTCTACTAATAGTTGTAAATTAAAATTGTAATTTGTTACAAATTTAAATAAATTAAATTGATATTTTTTAATTTTTGTAATTTTTTTATCCTTATTTTAATTTAATTTTTTTAAAATTACAAATTTTATTTATTTAATATTTACAAGACACAAGTTACAAATATAACTTATAAAATAAATATTAATGAATATAAGTATTAACTTATAAAGTATAAACTTCAAAAGATTTAAATTTTGAAAAGTTTATTAGACTTTACTTGCAAACTTAACAACAATAAAAAAAATTTAATAAAATATCTTTAAAATAAACTGAAGTAAAAAATTATAGTATAAATTTAAAAACTATTAATTTGTACTTAGAAAAATAAAAAAAATAATTATATTTTCGTAATTCCAAAAAATATCGTCCCGTTTATCCCGTCCTGTTCCATCCCGGTCCACTCCGGTTCGTTCCAGTTCCATCCCGATATATAGGGGAACGGGACGGAACTGATTATTCATCCCGGTAATTCCGGTACGGTTAATCCCGATACCGGTCAACATACCGATCCACAGGTTCTGTTCCGGTGCGTTCCGGTGCGGGGAACCAGTTATGGTCCGTTGACTACGGTCCAAACAAAAACAACAACATCACCCTACCCCTGCTACTCTTCTTCTTCACGAGAACCAGAACGCAAATTCAGCAAATCGATCCAATTTGAAACCCAAAAATCCCAGGGAATCCAGCGACCCGAGTCCAGTCGTTGGACCTCTCTCCTCACCTTATCATCCGTACACGAATCTTCTAGGTAGGCATCTCCTTGCAAGATCGTCCTTGGCTCAAATCGAATGGTTCTCCTTCTCTATCCATTGGAGATTTGTACCAATTTGAACTGTCATCTTATCCTCCAAGGGATTTGAATTTCGAAATAAAATCTATTCTGTTTCCCCCCTCTTTTTCACACCTTATTTCATCTATAAATAGTATCTTCTTCTCCATTATGAGGTTAGAAAAAAAAAGTTAGAAAAGCAGGGAAAATTTGGGTGAAAAAAAAATTGTTGGCGGAGAAGGTTGGAAAAAACTTGGAGAAAAAGATGGAATCAGTTGGCTTTAGATAGAAAAAATAGAAGAAAACTGAAACTACAAAATAGAAATAGACAAAAGAATTTAACACGATAGTGTTTGCATTGCCGGAGTTTTGGGGTCAATTGTTTACAATCCAAGTTTCCGTTGGAGTTTTTAGTTTGTGGTGTTGGAAGAAGCTCCGTTACTAGCTCGTTTTTCAGTTCGCTGCCTCGGAAAAGGTAATATCCTTTTACCTTCGTTAAGTTCCTCTTCACCTTGTTGTGTCCGGTAGTTTGAAGTTTTCTGTTTTGATACTCTTCTGACTTTTTTTCTTAATGGTGACATAGAGTTGTTGTTTTAATATTCAAATATAGCTAAATGTTATGTTTCTTTGTGATAAGAGTGTATTGTTACGTAAGTTTGAATCATGGCTCGATATCAACATTAAATTTAGTCACTGGCTCACTGCTCTACTGGTTTTATAAATTGTTTGTCTATAGTTTGAAAGAGATTGGTTATTATCTGCCTTATATGTATTAGTTTGAGAATCAAATGTTAGTCTTCTTTTTACAGAAGGTTGATTTTTGTGGTCTGATTTCCTAGTGTAGCTTCTCATGCATTTTTTTGGAGTGTGTGTGTGTGTGTTTGTCCCAGGAGGCTTACATGTTATGTCAACCTTAAGAAACCATATTTATTGAATGAGATATTTTAAGTTAAAACACAATTTGTTCAATATTTTCCTGCTAATTTTATTGGATTCAATCATGCTTGATTTGCTCAGTTTCAACTTCGTCCATTTGTTTATCACATAGCTAGTATAATATTCAAATAAATTCAAAGATTTAGGAATTTTTATTACATTTTGACATAAGACCATGTGTTGTGCTTGATACTCCTAGATAATAATACAATATGGTTGGTTTGTTAAATGCATGTTCTGCTTCTTTGTTATTGTATAACTTATTAAATTTGATTTGTGAGTGACACCATCCATAATTTTTTTTTGGAAAAATTAGCAAACTAGTCACAATCCCTAACTTAATTAGTAAAAATATCTACACTTTAAAATAATTATTGAAAATGTCAAAATGTCAATATTTTATAAAGTAATTTGTATTCAAATATTATTTCTCAAAACAGTCCAACTTTGAATCAAATTCTACATCCATTACTCATTTACACTTCTTCCTATGTTTTAGTACCATTAAATTTATTTTTCATCTTTTACTTTTCTCTTTCATCAATTTTTTAGTTTTCACCATCTCCATCATTCACTTTTCTCTTTTTTTTCTTTCATCAAAATTTCACTATTATTCTCTCTCCTTGTCGAAGAAGAACTAATTATTCAAGTGCGTAATAATTTGTTCAGATCTATCGGTTAATCAAGAAATCTCTCAATTGATAAAGGCATGTTTGAATTCATCATTTATTTTGCGAGAATTTGTTTTCAAAATCACAAATTATGTTAAATTTTAGGATTGTATGTATTGAGGATTTTTCGTCATTTTTTTATGTGAGTTTGTTAACAAACTCATCAAATATTTATGTATTTCAGATTTTTAGTATTTACAATAATTTTTGTCGATCTTTTTTTATGATTTGTTTTTATATTCCAAATTTAATAGAATCCACATTAGCATTTAGGTATTGAGTTGTTTCGCAAAAGTATTTGAAAGTATTTTGAATGTTCTGTAGTTTGTAGTCAAATTTGTTTTTACAAAATGATAATCTAAATACAAACCTGTATTTTGATTATTTAATTGTGAATAAATACGAAATCAAAGATAAACTAGTTGGTATAAACATATAATGAGCAAAATAAAATACAAAACTATGAGACTGATGCAATTATGATGAATACATAAATAAACTGTATTTTGCCTATTTATAATCGAGAATGAATACGAAATAAAAATAAAAATACAAAACTTTATAGTATACATTCAGAAGAATACAAAATCAAATATAAATACAAACTTTATGGTATACATTAGGACGAATGCAAAATCAAATCTAAATACAAACTATTTGGTATACAAACTGATATTGGAAATAAGCAAAATAAAATACATATGTAAGATGGATGAATATATATATCATGAATATATGAGTATTGTATTCTGAATACTAGAAAATTTCTTAAAAGAAGATACATAAACTTCATAACCTTAACATGATGACCAAATAACTTCATAAAATTTCAGACATTTTTAAAGATAAATTATAATTTCATAACGTCAAAATGATGCCTTAGTAGAATAAACTGCTTCAAATATGATAATGTATGGTAAATAAATGTGTTTAGAAACAAAATAAAATATTAAGAAAATTGAATATTGAATTTTTAGAACAATGGTGATAGGCATGTTTTTTAGAACATGGTGAAAGAAGAAGAAAAAAAATGAAAGTTGGTATATTTTGATAAATTGTCAATTAGTTCTTTGTTTTTGAATTTTTGTAACCGATAAGACTTTTAAGCAATTCTTACTTTTTAATTTTTTCTTTGTCTCCCCTAAATTTCTCCTTTCTGTTTTTAACAATTTTTTTTTGACAATTTTACTAAATATTGAAAGTATTGACATTGAGTCCTATTAAATGTCAAAATATTGACATTTTGAAAATTTTTCCATTATTTAATTATTGATCTACCTTGTTAGTCTAGGATATGTACCGAAGGTGACAAAAATTGGGCCAAAGGTCCAAAAATAGGTCCAAATACCGCTCCAGAACGGATAGAAACAGGATTTGGACCCAACTCTCTCCCTCCCTCTTTACTTTACCGCTTATTTTCTTGTTCGTATTCGCTATTAGTTTTAGAGTCGGAAAACTCAAATCCCAGCAAGATACCGTCGTATTTTAACTATTTAAACTAAATCAATTGAATCCAACCAATGGTTTTGAAATAATAAAGTTTGCAAGTTAGACGTCTCACTTAGACTATATTTCACTTCCAACAACTTCTAAAATTTTCAATTCAAATCAAGTTATGTTTTTAGCCAAAAAAATTAGTCGTCAAATAATAGCAAGTTAACGAATATTTTAGGTGTCGTAAAAACCTTACGAAAATATTAATAAGAACCCCCGACCCCCCTTTAAAACTCTTTCAAATTGATATCCTGATTTAGTCAATTGAAAGAATAGTTTTCTTGATTTTCCAAAAATTAAGCAGCGACTCTAAACTAGTCTTAAACAATAAAATATTATTTCATAAATGAAACAGTAGTTTCCAAAAATCACTTTAAGGGGGAGTGTGAAAAATGATAAAGTTCACTAGAACTTTCTTGAAGATATTTTTGTAGTAAATGATAGAATAGTCTAAAGCTTATAGTATCTAGAACAATCCATATGTTAGTATAAATATGGGATGATATTGTACATTTGTAATCAACCCAAGCAAACCAAGAATAACTTAATAAAAAAGGATTCTCCATAAACAAGTTCTCGTTTCTAGTTTCCTTTTCTTTAGTTAAATCTTCCGATCTTAGTTAACGATGTTGGGCTAGCAGAAGGATTTCTGATTATATTTTTCTTCTATTATTCTCTACAGTAAATCCACTACTAACCAAGTGTGATAACTCTCCAAAACTTCTATCTCCTGCTGCATAGCCTAAACCCATTGAGGTTCAAGGGAAGCCTCCTTGAAGGAAGAGGGCTCTGTGACTACAGAGAAAGTATGAACACATGTGAAGGAGACAAATGATTACAAGACGCATGGTTTGAAATAGTATAAGCTCATGAATTGGTCTTGGACTTAGTAGTAAAACCCTGAAGCCACAAGGGTGGTTTGACAATTCTAGAGGACTTCCTAACAAGAGGATTTGGAGTAGGTTGTGGGAATGAAAGGGTTCTGCAACAGATGCAAGAGAGGCTTCAGAAGTAGATGGGGAGCACAGGCACGGTAGTGGGAGGTATGAACTCTACAGGAGTAGGGATTGTAGGATGATCATGTGATGAGGGAAGCACATCATCAAGCAGGACTTTGAGTGGAGATCATAAAGAAGATACTCTTTCCGAGAGGAGGAGTAGCCTAAGAGGACTGCAATAATGACCCTATGGGAGAATTTGTCAAGAACCTTAATACAAGTAACATAACATATACACTCAAATGTTCTTATGTGAGACAGTGATGGATCATGTGAGTGAAACAATTCAAAGAGAGACTTGTAAGACAGTAGTCTATTGAGGATGTTCACAACAATAGTCATACACTGACCCCAAAACCACAAAGGGATATCAACCTGAAATCTTAAGGCCCTTGCCATGTCTAGAATAGTTGTATGCTTTCTCTCAGCTACCCTATTTTGCTGAGGAGTATAGACACAAGTAATTTGATGTGATATGCCAAGAGATAAAAACATGGATTAAAAAGCAGAACTGAAAAAATCACTTCCATTATTAGTTCTTAAAATTTTTACAAAAATAGAAAAAAAGTTCTAAGTTTGTACAAACCAATTTCTAAGTACTACTAGTGTGTCTGATTTAAAAGCTATGAGAAATACCTAGTTGAACCTGGAAAAATCACCAACAAGAGTTACAAAGTACCTCATGCCATCATGAGTGGGAACTCTGTAGGCCCCCAAATGTCACAATACACTAGTTCAAACAATTCTTTAGAAGTGTGACTGCTAATAGGAGAGGGAAGCTCTGACTGCTTAGTTAATGGACAGATAGTACAAGGATGACTTATTACATTTTCTAAACCATCTATACTTGATGATTTCTTCACTGTTTCCACAGGATCATGTCCTAGTATTCTTTGTTAAAGAGTGTTGGAGGCAATATTACTAGGCATAGGTACTACAGTCCATGATGTATTTGCTGCTGAGTGTTTGAAATCTTCTTTGAGGTTGTACAGCCCTTGATCTTCTCTACCAATCCCCTTGATCTGTCCACTTGAGAGATCATGTAAAACACATAATTCAGGGAAGAACACAACCATGCAGTTAAATTTCTTTGTTAATTACGACATAGATAACAAGCTGCACTTAAAGTCAGGCATAATGAGAACACTTCCAATTACATGATTCCCAAGTACAGTAGTATTACCAATACGTGATACTCAAACAACATTCCCAGTAGGTGAATTAACCTGCCTTCTTTCATATATAGGAACAATAGTGCATTGATTTAATAATTCATCCTTAAATTCTATGTGGTTAGTAGTTCCTGTGTCAATAATCCACTCCTTATCTACATGCTTGGATACTAGTGCAGATAAAATTCTACCGCTGTGGCAACTTTTGCTGATAAATCTCCACTAGAATCACTTCTTTTAGCTAGGAGTTGCATGATCTGATTGTACGGTCTACTGTGATGAAAGTTGCAGGAGATGCATACTGCAAGTTTTTGGGCACATTTAATTCAATGTGTGTATATCCTATAGGATTAGGAGCTTCAACATGATTAAAACAAGAAATTACAGTACTAGACTTCTTCTTTGATTTTCACCCAACTGGATATCCTTTTATCTTGAAGAACTAATCCTTGATGTGTCCTCTGAATCCATAGACTTCACAAAATTATGAGTGACTTCTGAGGTTTGTGTGGGTTATACTGTCTGTCATAGTGACTTCTACCTTGATTGCCACCACTCCCTCCAGATTGATGTCCAAACGAGGCATTATCATACTGAACTCTTCCAGAGTTACCATTGCTTCCTCCTTTCTGACTCATCATAGCAATGGTCTAAACAATCTAAGGAAGAAAGACTTCATGACCTGCACTTGCTAAGTATGGCTTTTATGATCTATAACCAGAGAAAAAACTTTGTTGAAACAAGGAGTTGGAGACTGCATCAAATTTGACACCTAACTATTGAGTAGGTTTCATTCGTTCACATTAGGAACTCTAGCACTCTTTGATAATCACAATGCTTTTGAAATTTCTTAGATTCAGGGCAACTTCATCCTAGACAAGGCATAATAAAATTATACTCATTTCAAAGTCCTTTGAGTGAATTATACTAATCAGTAACTAGCATTGTTCCTTGAGTTAAGATGTGACTTTCTTTATGAAGCTAAAATACATGAGCTCCATTCATTTTGTCAAAACTTTCCCTTAGATCACACCAAAATATATGTGCATCACCATTATATACAATATCACTAAGTATTTCAGGTTTAACAACATTCATAATCCATGAGAGAACTACATCATTACACTTCTCCCTGATATTAGACAGTTCAACAGTAAATTTGTAATTAGGGAATCAACCATCTATAAAACCTAGCTTACTCTTTCCTACAAGTCCTATAAGCATAGATCTACTCCAAATAACATAGTTCTCTGAGCCTGTAAGCTAAAGAGAGATGAAAGAGCTACCTGGAGTGTCATTTGTTTATAGATTTAGCAGGTGATTGCGGTTAATAGTAGGAACTATGTAGATCATTGATTCACTAGTTGAATTTCCTTGTGTTGTGTTTGATTCCGGATTTTTAGTTATTCCAGATATGTCTTCCATGGATCTTAGCTTGGAAGAGTTTAATGCGTATTAGTGACTCGAAGGACTTTCTACTTTGAATCAAGGCACCTCTGCTGCTTTCAACATGCTCACTAGAAGACTCCACTTTCCCTAGGATCGCACAGGGCTCTGATACCCTGTCAACTCCATTAATGGAGCTTGTAAACAACATTGAGCATGTGCATGAACCCTAATCCGCCTATGATTACTGTGATCGGCGGCTAGTCATCTCAGATGACTAGTCGCCCTTTAACTATCACATCTCTTACGAATTTCCTCCTTTATGTGAACTCAATCCATTGACATGTACGAACAATGAAAAGTGGGGTAAAAATCCATACATAACTCAGTCTAAATATGCTGATTCATGTAGAGTGGTGGAGACCCAAATTTTGCATAAGTCACTTATTGAGCCCATCCTCCACAAGCTAGTGAATATGGTTAATAGTTATCCAATAATTAAATGGACTGAGGTAGAACTGGATCGCATGAATATAATTCAAGACCTAAAATATGCCATTATTGGTGAATTCTCGTATGGTTGGCCAAATCCAAAGGTACTTAGAAAGGTAATCCCTTTACAATGTGTCAACAAAGGGGATTGTAAGATTGGTTTATTTCGCAGTCGTCATGTATTTATAAGACTGTCTCTAATGGAATACTTTGTTAATCTGATATCCAAAGGAGATTACTACATCACATGCAATGAAGGTTTTTATTTTATAATGAGAACCTTAATTTATGATGTCAGATTTAAGATTGATGAGGAGACAACAAAAGCAATAACATAGATCTCTTTCCCAAATTTGTTGCCTACCTTTTTTGTGAAAGAATCCTTGTTTTCATTGGCTTCAGCTATAGGCAAGCCATTGCAATTAGATATGGTAACCATCAGTAAAACTAGGCCAAGTTGTTCTAGGATTAAAGTGATGGTGGACCTTTTGGCAGATCTTCCACATTCTATGATAATGGATATTGAGAATGAGGAAACCGGGGAGGTTAGATTTGAAACAGTTACCATCATATATGACTATATACCAAAGTATTGTGTAGAATATAGATTACATGGTCATAATAAAGAAGAGTGTAGAATAATTAATCCTGAGTTGAATTTGATGAAGGATGGTGATACGATAAAACAAAGAATATGGAAGAAGATGTGAGGTTATCCTAAATAGAGTGACTCCTATTCAAAAAGGTAATGCTAGAATATTGCACTACTAAAAAAAGGCAAAAAATAGACCTAGAAATGGAGACCTCAAAAATAGGTCAATAATAAGAGACCTCAAAAATAGGTCAATAATAAGAGACCTCATGAGGTCGCCATTTAAATTAATATCTTTTAATTTTTTTAATGTAGGAGAGACTTCGTGAGGTCAATTTAATGAATATATTTTTTTTAGCTGACTTATTTAAAAATTTTAAATTTTTAATCTAATTCTCATAAAATTAGAGACCTCATGAGGTCTCTTAAACAAAACCAAAAACCTAGCAAAAATTAAAATAGCTCTCTTTTTTTCCTCTCTCTTAATTTTTCGTCGACCGCCTCTCTCTCTTTCTCACTGACCTCGTCGACCCTCTCTCTTTCTCGTCGACCCTCTCTCTGTATCGTCTCTCTTTCTCGCCGAATCTCTCTCTCTGTATCAACCCTCTCTCTCTCATCGCTCATCGCTAGCTCTCCGCCGCCAGCAGTCGTGCTTCAGCAGGTGGAGGTCGCGCCGCCTCCATCTCCGCCATTTGCAGTCGCCTCAGCAGCAGCGTTCCCACTCCAGGTAAATTTATTTATTTTTGGTTATTGAAACTAACTGTGTTAGATTATTGAGATGAGGTGTTTGAGGTTCATTAGATTAGCTTTTGGCCCAGAAGCTTTAGTTCACTCAGTGATTCTTAAAGCTTTACTATTATTATGGTATTAAAAAAAATTGGAACTTTGGACTGATTCTTGATGTGAAATTTCTACAGGGCAGCTGCTGCATTGATGATGGGTGATGACATGCACAAATTGAGCAGAAGTCGTTTTGAAAGAGGGGATTTTGGACTGAATGGTGGAGTTGGAATAACAAATCCAGGTTCAAGGCAAATTTACTTGACATTTCCAGCTGATAGTACTTTCAAAGAAGAGGATGTTTCCAATTATTTCTTGTATTATTGGTTTGAAAAATTCAATGTATTAAAGTTGTTCCCCTCATTTTGAAGTTTTGGTTTCTTTAATCTTGTTATTCTTGATTTTCTAGCACTTATGGGCCTGTTCAAGATGTGAGGATTCCATATCAGCAAAAGAGGATGTTTGGTTTTGTTACATTTGTTTATCCGGAGACTGTGAAGACCATTCTTGCCAAAGGAAATCCTTATTTTGTATGTGATGCTAGGGTGCTTGTCAAGCCTTACAAAGAGAAGTGACCTGCATTTTACTGACCTACCGTTGAGGTCTCTTTTTCGGTCTCTTTTTTCCGAAAAGAGACCTTGTGAGGTCTCTTTTCCAGGTCTCTTTTTGGCCTTCTTTTAGTAGTGTTGTACAGTTCCAAAGTTATGGGAAATCCATGTAACTGGATAGTTGTGAAAGACAGAAGAGTATCACGAAACCACAACAAACCATCAAGAGTAGGGTGAGAACTACAAACGCTAAGGATGTAGTAGTTGGTAACAAATTTAATGCACTAATGAGGTCGAAGAAGTGATTAATATCTCTAGTACATTAGAGGTTAATGAGGCAGCCCCAAAGATTGATGAGAACATATCTGTTAATGATTCTGGCAACAAGATTCTAAGGCAAAATGCGAAAAATATGCAGCAACATGATGTTTATGATAAATCAAATAAAGTGGAGCATAAAGTCAATGATAAGACATCTTTTGGGGAATTACTACAATATGTTATTGCAAATGCAAGAAACATCGCGATGAGTCCGGAAGGAGAAGTTTTGACGCCAAATGTTGGATTTATTTCCCAACATGAGGATATTACAGATTGTTTCAACAAGCTATTGATCAATCACCAACAATTGAAAGAGTCATTAATCACAATCAGAAATCAAGTAATATAGTTAATGGTGGAGAAATCGATGTATAAAAGAATGATGCTACACATAAACTCATTCCACAATAACAGAAAGAAAGGTGTAGCACGTGGATAATCAAAGAGGACGTAATGAAGATCATGACAAACATTCTATGTATGTTCATTAGCTACGGAAGAACCCTTTCTGAAATGACACTGATATTGAAGAAGATAGACGAGGTGATACAAATCAAGATTTCATGAAGCAAATTCAATGGCAATTTTTGAGATACCAACAATACTACATTCAACGGACAATCAACTATTCCATGTGAGATTTGAATCCCCAATAAGTTTTGCATGAAATAATTTCTTATACTTTTGAAGACGAGTTGAAGATTGATCGTATTATAAATGACGATGAATAACATAACAAGAAGGATGATGATGAGGTTGATCTGAATATGGAAAGAATTGCTAGGGAGGCATATGTCACTCCTAGAGCAATTAAATCTTCTAGAAAAGAAAAAAAAACAAGATAACATCAAAAACTATTCAACTTACCAGAGTACTACCAAAGAGGGGAACTTGCAAAACCATTCATTAATTATCATGAAATCCTTTATTAGGAATATCAGATCTGTGAAAACCTAGAAAGATTTTCAAAGGGTACGAATGTTGAACAAACATCACAAGTTTACATATATTGCACTTCTTGAGCCATTCCAGAATGCTAGACACATTAACAAACATAAGTGAAGATTAGGGATGAAAATGGCAAGATCGGATGGCAATGGTAAGATATGGTATTTTACTAGTGATGGGATGGAAGTAGAGATAATTATGGACACTGTACAACAGGTCACCCTAAAAATGTACAACCAAGGTATTAACAGGATTTCCTTTACAACTTTCGTATATTCCAAATGTGATGTTGTGGAAAGATTTTCATTGTGGGATGATATATACCATTTGACTAATAGGATCAACGACCCTTGGATCATTGGGGGAGATTTCAATTTAGTTATGAATGAGGAAGAGAAGATTGGGGACTGCCTGTGGTCACTGCCGATTATGCAGACTTTGCATGTTGCATTGAGAATTGTAACCTCATAGAAGTCCACTTTAGAGGTGGTCTTTTTACATGATGAATGGAAGGACTGGAGATGATTGTATTCTTGAAAGACTTGACAAAGTTCTATAAAATCAAGAGATGCAAGATTGGTTTTACTTTCTTGAAGTTGAACATCTCACTAGAACAATATCCGACCATGCTCCTATGTTATTAACTTTTGAAGAGAATGCTACCCAGTTCAAGAAACCTTCAAAATTTCTCAAGTTATGGAGAAAACACGAGTCCTTTAAGGAGGTTGTGTCTCAAAATTGACATGCCTCTTATTCAAATAACTATTTCTTGAGCTTAAGGAGAAATTGAAGAATGTAAAGACAGCACTGAAGTAAGGAAGATTTTGGAGAAATTTTCAAGCAACTATCTATTGGAGAAGACATAGTCAAAATAAAGGAGCATTTTCTAAAAGAAGACCCTACTGTTATGAACAAAATTATTATGCAGAAGGCACAAGCAAGAATTCATGAAGTATCTCCATTTTGAAGAAGATTATTGGAAACAAAAGGCTGGTTTTGATTGGTTTAAAGGAAGCGATAGGAACACAAGAATCTTTCACATCTTGGTAAAAGGAATAATAAACAAGTTGCAATTGAAGAGGATTCAAGATGATAAAGGAAATTTTTAGGAAGTGGATGGTCTCATGGCCTCGGAAGCTATTAGGTTCTGTTATAATCAGTTCACACCCAAGGGAGAGATGCTACTGATTTCTCCCCGTTGAGACACATTCCAAAATTTTCAAATGAGGGTGCTAATTCTAATTTATGATCAACACCAACCATATAAGAGATCAGGAAAGTTGTTTTCAGTATGGATGGGGACAGTGCTAGTGGCCCAGGAAAATTTTATCATGTTTGTTGGGATATAGTGAAAACTAATTTATTGAGATTGGTGCAAGCTTTCTTCTCATGTCACAATCTTCCCAAATCAATTACTCATACTAATTTATTTCTTATTCCTAAAAAGAATGATGCTAATAAATATTGTAATATGAGGCCTATTAGTTTGAGTAATTTTATCAGCAAAATTATTTCCAGGATAGTTCATGATAGAATGGAGACGATTCTTCCGAAGTTGATATCTACAAACCAATCAGGGTTTGTAAAGGGAAGGAATATTATTGAGAATGTTTTACCAACTCAAGAAATTGTGACAGATATTAGACTAAGGGGTAAACTAGCTAATGTTATCATAAAGCTTGATATGACGGAGGCTTATGATAGAGTTTCATAGTTATTCGTTGTCAAAGTTCTAAGAAATATGGGGTTCTCTAATATTTTTGTTGTATGATATGGAGACTTGTAGCAAATAACTGGTATTTATTCAATGGGCAGGCACATGGTTTTTTTCACTCAACTAGGGGAGTAAAATGATGTGCCGCAAAATCTTGGCACATTTGATGCTTGAAAACTAAAAATTAATACTATAATTGAGTGCATTTATATATGCTTTGATGTGTTTGTTGAATGTGCAAATAGATTTGTGCTTTTGAGGGAAAAAAATGATTGTGATATATGTGAAGACCATGAGCACCTAAATGGGTCATGGTCCTTGTCACAAACTGTGGTGCGAGTCCTGAAGTATGTCCAGTATGAAGGTATGGAGGAGTTGATACTGGGTTGTATCAAGTAAAGATCACGGACAACCTCACGGACCGTGGTCCTCATAACAGTCTGTGGTTGTGCTCGTGAAGTGTGATTCAATGTTTGGGCCTTGGGTAGATTGAGTGCATGAGCAACCAAGTGAAGATCAGGAAGACCCCATGGGCCGTGGCCACCATAATGGAATGTGGTGGTGATCATGAAGATGATCCAGTACTTAGTTCTAGAGAAGCTTAAATGGGAAGTGACCAAGTAAAGACCACAGACAATCTGACAGATCGTGGTACATATGACGGCCTGTGGAGTCGCCAATAGTACCTATCCAGTTGACCTTGAAGATCCAAAGTTGCTGAAATACGAAGTGAAGACCATGAGGGGCTTCACGGATCGTGAAGCCCTTGATAGATCGTAGAAGTGGCCGTGAAGTGCCCAACATTTTAGTCCTAATTCCAGTAGGAATCTTTTTAAATTACTATTTTTGAATTAATTAGGTTATTTTCATGTTTTATTTTATATTATCTTGATGAGAGAACAAGTTTCCTTTATTCTCAGTTTGTGAGTTTGGATTGGAACATTGAATTAATTTTGACGTTTGGATTTATGGTTCTTGAATTATCGAAGTGGCTTGTTGATTTGCTTATTCTCGTAAATACATTCTAAACATGTTTTCGTTTGATATTTCTGAATGTTACGTGAAATCATGTCTAAATACCACAATTGGGGTTGTGGGATCCATGACATCATTCTAATTGTAATTTCATAAAACGAGTGAAAAATGATTTATGTTTACAAATTGTAATTTAGCGTTTGTTATTTATGTGTTCTGATGAGTGCACACATTAGAGTGAGCTTGTATCTATCATTTGTTAGGAAGAAAAATGATACTTAGGAAAAAGTTAAATTAATCTGACAAAATAGAGTCAAGGTTTAAGTTTGACAGAAAAGAACATTAACACCATTGTATGCGAGGGTAAATCATGTACAACTTTAGAAACGAGAGGACTTGAGTGAAGATTATTTGAGTAGACTAAGAAGTGTTAGATATAGCTAACTCGCATGTATTTTGTGGAAGTGAATTTCATTAAACTCAACTATTAAAGAAAATTGGACGCAATGTTATGGGGAACACAATCCTAGTTTCAGCTAATTATTGAAACAACTTCAGAAATTTTTTTTTGTTAATTGTTGAATTAGACTTTAGTTTACAACTTTGGTTACCAAATGTTTAATACTAAACTCATCTTACTTTTCGTAATTGTTTATTGTGGAATAAGATAGTTGAATAATTTTTTTATTCATTTCTTTCTATTTCATATATAAGACTCTATATACATGAGAGATTGTAGAATAAAATCATCTAGATCCCATCAAATTTGGGATTCTAATAAATCATATATTCTACTAAAAAGAAGAAAATGATATTTTAGATTACAACAATTATCTTTGAGATCTTAGGGGATCAAATCTTGAT